AAGCCCAGTGCTGAGTGTTTGGAGCAGAATTTTCCTTCCCCAGCACTTGAAGCTGCTCTGTGGCGAGGTGAAAATGTTGCAAAAATTGTTTGGAAATCTTTTCTACTTTCAATTTATTCCATCCTACCCAGAGTTTGTTGTTGTTATTTCATAAAAAGGCAGAAAATTCCCACACAGGATGTTTTAACCTGGGGTTTGTGTGAATATGGGGATTTACAGCAGAGTCCTTTTTATGCATTAATTAGAACTCTGGACTTGTCACTTCTCATTTAACTTGAATGTTACTGAAAAATTGATGATTTCTAGAAATACTTTTTCTCCATATGCTTCCTTAGCATTGAAATCCCCAATGAAGCTCAGTTTATACAGAATTTTATGGAGTTCTTGCCTTTGAGATACATATTTATACATACAAAGATACTTATCTGTAGGTGTAACCTGGCTAAACACAAGGTCCAAGTTATTTTCTGTATCAAAAGAAATTTCAAGAGAAACATTTAATTTAAAGCAAACAGGACAAAGAATGGGGTTTTCCTTTAAGAGCAAGGTGGAATATAAATATTTGTGTGCTGGAGACTGGGGGAAAATCAGTGCTGAAAGATTTCTTTTCAAGGTCTGGAGTTGCCTCTTCCCTCTTTAGTGGAGAGAAGCAGCGAAGGATTCACACCCTGTGAGCACAGACTGTGAGAAATGAGAATTTCTGCTGCCAGGAAGAGTTTCCAGATATTTGGGATATTTATTCCCCAGCTTCCACAGGGTGGGCAGAGGTGGCTTTAAAATGCAGATTCCTCCCAGGGTGCCATCCCCTCCTTTCTAAACACAAGGATTGTGTTTTGTCAGCACTTCTCTGGCTTTTTTTTTTTTTTTTTTTTTTTTTTCTGGATGGATTAAATAGATTTTTAAAATTTTTTTTTAAATTTTATGCTTCTCCTGTGTGAGCAGATCTTTGCCAAGCACTTCTTGGGGTTTCCATCCCTCTGCAGATCCCATCCATGAGGCACAGAGCAGCAGAGCCCTGCTCACTCCTAGTTTGGTGTCTCTTCCACACGAGTCACTCTTGGGTTTGTGGTTTTTTTGTTTGGTTTTTTTTTTTTTTTTCTCGTGGTTCTCAAGACTTTCAGAACATTCACACCATCCTTCTCCCTGTCAGCAACACCAGTGCATCTTTCAAATGGGTTTATAAATAAAACTGGGCATTCTGGTGATTTTTCTCCCTCTGCACTGCTGGTGTCTCATTCCTGAAGTTCTCTCAGGCTGCCCGTGGTGGCAAAGCTTCTCCCCAAGGTTCTGTGCAAAGATCGACGATCCCGGATTTCCCCGGTGAATTTGTTGCCGAATATCCAGCTTCAACTTCCATTCCTCAGATGGGCTGGATCTTAGGGAAAAAGTATTGATAAAGACAAGCAGAAACACACTCGTACTGGTATGGAACTGGGGGGAAAATGGGAATAAAAAACAATGAGTGGAGTCCGGTATGGAAATAATTCAAAATGAAAAGAAATGCTTGCTCTGGTTGGTGTAAACTCTGCCTTGTGTGAGCACCACAGAGCTGAGCTCCCTTCAAGAGGAAAGGAGTCAGATCCTGGGGGTGTGGTTTGTGATAAACTCCTACCTGGGGCTGAATATTTACGGGGTGGGGGGGAAATAATCTTGATTAGGGATTTGATTAAATCCTGCGATGTGGCCTGTGCAGCTCTCTGGGTGAGGGTGGTGGTGACAGCACAGCTCGAGGCTTGGAGCTGAGCAGGAGCCACAGGTGCTCACAGGGTGCTGCTTTTCCAAAGGGAGCAGCTAATTAGGAATGAGTTTTAAGGGAACTTAATTAGGAATGAGTTTAACAAACCCATTGTGGTGTGTGTAGCACCCATTAGAGAGTCTTTGCTCAGGTGTGAACGTCCCCTGGCTCCAAGGCAGGTGTGACAGGGCCACTTTGGCCAGGACCAGGCTGGAGTTTTGTCACCTGCCAGGCAGCTCTGCTGAAGGTGAGACGTGAAGGGCACTGGGAGCAACCAGGACTGTGGAGCTCACACCCAGAATGGTCAGGACAGGGATTTTTGGGATCTCTCAGCAGCCAGGACTGATCAGGACAGGGATATTTGGGATCCCTAGCTGCCAGGATTGATCAGGACAGGGATTTTTGGGATCTCTCAGCAGCCAGCACTGATCAGGACAGGGATTTTTGGGATTTCTCAGTAGCCAGGACTGACCACAACAGGGATTTTTGGAGGACCTGCACTCCAGAAGCACAGAGAGGGAAATTACCCGAGCCAATGACAAAATCCCTCCTCGGTGCCTCGAGCCCAGCTCAGAGCTCACCCAGCCTGGTTTGTGGGAGCAATGAACATTGGCTGGGGAAACTTCAGTTCCACAAAATTCCCTGGCACTCGTCTTCAAACCGTTCCCTCCTGTGGATTTATTCAGCTGTGACTTTAGAAACGCTTTTGTTTTCTACAAAACCAGAGTAGCCAGCTGCATCCTCTCTGAGCTCTGCATTTCCATGGCAGAATCCACTTCTGAGCTCAGGAAAAAGTGGAAATAGCTCAGGGCAGAGGGTTGTGCAGGAGGTGCCTTCCCAGCCCTGCTGCTCCTTTGCATGAAGAGCCTGCCTTGTCAAATGTTTCATGTGTGTGGTTTAATTTTTTTTTTTTAATTAAAAAAAAAAACCTGCAATGCAAATCTGTGCTCTAATTTGAGGACACCATTTAGCGATTTTAATTGTGTGACAGTATTTTGGTATTTTCAATACCCAGTAGTAGGTTAATGACTGTTCCTTGAAGAATGGAGTTTATATAACACGAGTCATTACATAAGGAGGCTGATTGTGGCCTGAGGAGCAGGAGGAAAACAAATATGCAAAAACACAGAACCCAACACCAGCAAACTCTGCTTTGGCCACCCTGAGAAGCCCACCCAAAAAAATGAACACCTGGGTTCTAGAAATGAGAAACTCACCGTGAGGAAGGCTGAGGAGCACTGCAGGACATCAAGCTCGGCATTTCCCACGTGGTGGCTGCAATTCCTCCACCTCGCCCCGCTCGCTGTAAAAGGAACAACAACCAAACCAGCAAAAAGTTCTCGGCTGGTCACTTCTTTTCTTTTCTTTTCGTTTTGCCGGCAGCTCCTAAAGGCGGCTTGAGCTGGACTGACCGACACCACGGCGGAACGGAGCCGTGGAGATCTGAGCGCGGACATCTGACCCTTTTGGGGACAGAGACGGGACAAAGTTCTGGGCAGTCACAAAAGTGACTCGGAGGGGTCTCTCTGCATCACTTCCCCGAGGGGCTGAGTGCGGATTTACAGCTGGGCTGGGATTCGCTCCCTTGGGTGTCCTTGGTGTGCGGGGCCGGGACTCCGCAGGGTCCCGGCAAGGTTCCCCGGGGTCCTGGCAGGGTCCCCCAGGGTCCCGGCAGGGTCCCCCCATGGTCCTGGCAGGGTCCCCGCAGGGTCCCCGCGGTCCGTGCGGGCAGAGCCGGAGGGGAGGGAGGGGAGGAGGCGCCGAGGGATGCGCGGGGGGCGCGGCGGAGCTCGGGGCTCGCACCCCGGACCCCCGGGCGGAAAGAGGGATGGAGGGAGGGATGGAGGGAGGGCAGGGGGGTCCCGGCGGGGCCGAGCCCTTGGCGGGAGGAGGAAGGGCGGGGTGAGGATGGCGTGTGGCTCTGGAAACGCGGCCAAGCGCCTCTGCCGGGGCTCGGCGTGCGGCTGCGGGGCGGGGGGAGCCCCGCAGGGCCGGGCCCGCAGAGCTGCGGCCGCCGCTCGCCATGAGCCGCTCCCGGAGCAGCGCCTCCCCACGTAGGTAAATGCCCGGGGTGGGGAGGGGGCGGCCGGCGCTGCCTGGGCGCATCTTCCCCCTCTCGCTGCATCCCGCATCCCTCCCCTGCTTCCCGCATCCCTCCCCCGAGCGGGGCCGGGAGGGGCTGGGCCGGGGGCTGCCGGCACCGAGAGAGCGCAGCCCCGAGCCGGGAGGGTTTGTGGGGCTCGTTTTTCTTTTTTTTTTTTTTTTTTTTTTTTGGGGGGGGGGGGGGGGGGATGAAGGTGGGCGCGGTGATTTGGGAGCTGGGGTGTTTTATTTTTAAATTTTTTTGAATTTTTTTTTTTTATTTTTTTATTTCCCATTTTTATTTGGCAGCGCTCGGCAGCGGGGATGATTTTGGGGAGGGTCGGCGGAGAGGATGCGATGAGGCTCCCCCGGAGTGGGTGATTTTTTTGCAGCCTGCCTCCTCCTCCCCCAGCCTCTCCCCCCCACCCCGGGTTTGGCTGCCTCGCTTCCCAGTTGCTGCATGAAGGCTGTGCTTGTACCGGCGTGTGCCCGCTCCCGGAGCCGCGCACCCGCCGCCACCGCGGCCGGGGGGAGCCCGGAGCCAGCGCTGGGGGGTGGAATTGATATAATTATTTTTAAATTTTTCTAATTTTTTTTTTTTTATTTTATACATATATATTTTTTTTCAATTTTTTTCTTTTTTTTTTTTTTTTTTTTTTTACCTATCACATTCATCCTAGAAAAATAAAAAAATAAAGCGGGCAGGGCTCGGGAGCCCGCGGCATCCCCGGCACGGGGGAGTGCGTGTGTGTGTGCGGGGGGCTCCCCGCGGCCCCGCCGCCCCCCGCAGCACCGCAGCGTGCGGGCAGCGAGCGCGATGCGCCCCGCGCTCGGCTCTGCGGAATAGCGCGGCCACCGCTCGCCCTCCGCGGGCTGGGGGCGCCCGGACCCGACCGCTGGCCATTCCCTCTTGATGTCCATGAATGCAAACACCATGATTTTCATGATCCTGGGCGCCTCTATCGTTATGGTAAGAGATTTTTTGCTTATCTCCCTCCCCTCCATGGTCCCCCCCCCCCCCCCCCCCCCCCCCTTCCCTCCCTCCCTCTCTCCCTCCCTCCCCTCCACCTTCCCCCCGCACTGTCCCTCAGCCTGGGCACCTCTGTGTGTGTGTGTGTGTGTGTGTGTGTGAGTGTGTGTGCATGTGTGTGTGCCCCACCGAACACCAAACATTCTTTTCTTGATGACTGCTTCAGTCTTTGGCAATCAAACTGGAGTCAATGTTTTATTCCATCATCCAGAGTTGACCAGATGCCTTGGTTATGGGCTCTTACAGGCAATAGCTTGCTTGATGGACATGAATGCGTTGTTGGACAGATTTCACAATTACATCCTACCGCATCTGAGAGGGGAGGACCGAGTTTGTCACTGCAACTGTGGAAGGTGAGTTACCTGCAGAGCATCTCCCCTGCGCTGCCCCCAGCCCCTTCCCACCTTGTCTCCCTGGGGACGAGGTGACCAGCGACACGGAGCTGCTGGCTGGCAGCTGGGCTACCATTTTGGCATTCTGGCTGTGTCTCACCTTCCTCAGCAGCTCCTGCATGAGCAGGGTGAGGAGGGGGGGTGGGGGTTGGTTGTTTTTTTTTTTTTTTTTTCTCGGGAAGAAGAGTTTTCTGTGGGCTTGGAAGTGCATTTTCCTTTGTGAGCACGTTTGTGCACAGGCATTCGGGAGCCCTGGCAAAGTGAGTTACTCGGATTTAAACGTTTGTCATTTTGCCTTTTGTTGTCAGTAGGACCGTGGTGTTTCCCAGCCTGTTTGTGGTCTGGGTGTTGCAGTTGGTGCTTTTGTGGCTCATTAATGCTTTGGGGTTTGGAGAAATGACAGGATCCCCGTCCAGGCCAGAATGTGGCCACCTAGGACAGAGTCACTTTGAGGCTTTGCAATCTTCAATCAGATTTGAATTCCCTGTGGCTTTTCCTCCTGGGAGCTGTTCACAGCACACCGAGGAGGCTGGGCTGTGGTTTTGGGGGAGCCAGGAGCGTTGGGGTGGACGCTGTGCCAGGACTGAAACCTTTGCTGTGCACAAGTTTATGACTGGACAAACACCTGCCTCCCTCCGTGCCTCTTGGCAATGTTCAATTCTCCTAAAGAACATCGCTGTGGTGTGTAATCCCAAAGTGCTCAGCTTGAAACTGGGATCTGGAATGTGTTCAGGCCCAGGGCTGAGCTCTGGGGAGATGAATTTCTCCCTTCTCTGTGGGACTGCTGCTGGTGCTCCTCATGCTCCCCTCCTGTGCCTGGTTACTCAGTGCCTGTGGGGGAGGAAAGCAGCCTGAGGCTGTGCCAGCTAAAGGACACGCTGGGAGAGCCCTCCCTTGCCACATCCGAGCCTTCAGGTTTGGGTTTTACTCCTCTTGGAGCAGCCTCTGGAGCCAGCTGCATCCTGAACCCAGGAATGGCGTCCCCCTGGTGTCCCTGGAGTGGCAGCTGGGCTTGGTGAGGAGAAAATGTTTTTCCCTTCCACGCTTCCAGAGGTGATAGCACCTGCAGGGCCAGGAGCAGCCAGGCCTGGGGGATGTGGCAGCACCCTCAGCTCCTGGGGCATTTCCCTCTTAGGGTCAATTTGTGAGAAAAAAACATCCACAGTGTCTTCAACTTGGTTTTGGAAGGATTTGCTTTTTCTTAGATTTGTTTTTCTTTGAGCCCTCTTCATGGTTTTTTGTTTGTTGTTAGTTTAAGAGTTTTTCTCTGCTTTTCCCACCAGTTTTTCTTTGGACTCGTCACAGCTTGTTGAGAATGGGCTGCTGGTAATGGACTGTGATGTTTGGAGTGGCTGAGCAGTGTCAGGTCTCACTGGTGGCCTGGCTGAGTGTCCCCTCTGCCCAAGGCTGAGGAGGTGGCAGGGGCAGCCCCCTCTGCTCTCCCCCTGTGCCTGCAGAGATGCTGCTGAGGCAGATAAATTGGCCGTGGCACTCTCCACAAACACCACTGCCTCATTTCTTCGAAAGTGCCACAAAAAAAGCTCCCAAACCGCTGAGCATGGACGTGAGAGGAGGCAAAAAGCAAAGTTTATCCCTTGCCTCAGGTACGTGTGAGCAATGGCTCTTGCCAACAGAAACAGCTCACGAGTTTCTGAGCGTTGGCTCCGAGCTGCTCCTGCCCTGAGAGGAGAATTCACAAACCCTCCCTTGTGCTGTGACACCTCGTGCTGAGCTTTGCCCTGACCTGCTGCCCCCATGGCAGCGTTTGGAGCTCTCTGATTCCCGGGCTGGACGTGCCTTGTGCTCTGTGTCAGCTGCCCAGGGGCTCTGAGCTCAGCCCTGGGGCAGGAGCCATCAGCAGCTCCCCCAGGCTGGGCTGTGTCCTGGAGCCTCTTGTCAGCGCTGCTAGCAGGGCTTGATGAAGAACTTAATTTGCCAATAACCAGAGGGAGTCCTCGGAGGAGGGAGCTGGCTGCAGTTCAGTGTGTTGCAGCGAGGAATGGGGAAAATCAGTAAATGTTGCAGAAATGGAAGGGAAGGAGGAATTGGAATGAATGAAGATTGATGTGCAGTGGGCTGAGCTGCTGCAATTAATGATCTCCCTCCTGCCCTAGCCTGGGTCGCAGTGTCAGTCAGACCCAATAATTCATTCAGAAATGTTTTCCTTCCTCTCCTCTCCTCTCCTCTCCTCTCCTCTCCTGGTTGTCTCCTTGCTCAGAGTGGATCAGAGTGGATCAGAGTGGATCCCTTCCCCAGGAATTGTCCAAGCAGGATGTGAGTGCCCTGGGCAGAGCAGGATGTGCTGTCCAGGAGGAGCTCTGAGCTTGTGAGGGGCTGGGAGGTGGCCAGAGAGGTGCTGCCTGTGGCCAGGTAGGGCTGGCTCTGTGTCTCAGGTGTGCCAGGGGGACACTGTGGGGCTCTGAGCCCTGCCAGGCTGTGCTCAGCCTGGATCCCCATGCCCTGGCAGTGGGATGGGCCCTGGCTGCTTCCAGCTCCAGTTTGGGGCTCACCAGCCCTGGCTGCTTCCAGCTCCAGTTTGGGGCTCACCAGCCCTGACTGGTTCCAGTTCCAGTTTGGGGCTCACCAGCCCTGGCTGGTTCCAGTTCCAGTTTGGGGGTTCCCAGCCCTGACTGGTTCCAGTTCCAGTTTGGGACTCACCAGCCCTGACTGGTTCCAGCCCCAGTTTTGGGGTCCCTTGTTCCTGTGCCCACTTTCAGCTCAGGCAGCAGCACCAGCCATGCCCAGGGGTGTCCCAGGCTCTGCCCACGTTCTGGGGGCTCTGGGGCCACCAGAGTGACCCAGGGGCATGGCCAGCAGGGCTGGCTGCTCCAGCTGCCCCTCACAGAGCTGCTCAGGCTCCGAGGCCATGCCTGGGGTCTGTCCTGGTGGGCAGGGCTGTGCCTTCCCTGGGCTCTGCTCATCCTCCCCTCTCTGGGACTCTGGCCCAGCACAAGTCCCAGGACAAGAGCAAGGAGTGCTGTACATTATTTTTGCCACGTTTTTCAGCATTCTGTGTGTTTGTAGAGGCTGGGGAGGGAAACCAGCCCCAGCTCCAGGTGCTGCTGGAGGCTGATCCCCACCTTCACCCTTCCCTGTGGGATCAGGGTCCCTGGGGCTGAAGCTCTTTGTTGTCATTTCATGCCAGGAGGGACAGGTGCATTTGGAGTCCGTGGTGTCAGAGGGGAGTTGTGACACTGAGAACCAAGAGGTGACACCAGTGCTGTGCAGAGTGTGAGTGGCTGCAGGGCCTGGAGCCCTGGGCTGAGGGGAGCTGGGGCTGCTCTGGCCACTCCTGGTCCATATTTGCAGTTTTTTAGGTGGCACAGAGGCTGGGGAGAGCTGGGGCTGCTCTGGCTACCCCTGGTCCATATTTGCAGTTTTTTAGGTGTCACTGAGCTGCTGTTTGCAGTCTGAGTGAGCCTGGCTGGACAGTGGAGTGTCCCTGCTCTGGTGGCTGTGCTGGATGCTCCCCTGGGCTCTGAGAGGTGACAAATATCCACAGGTGAGGTGTCACCATCACCTGGGCCAGAGCTTTCCCACTCCAGAGCCCCAGAGCCAAGCAGGGCAGAGCTGCCAGGACCCCCCCAGGCCATGGGAGAGCATCCACAGCCGGGAAAACTCTGCTGGGAAGGGAGGCTGGGGCAGGGCTGGAGTGAGAACACAGCACAGAGACAGGGCTGGCACCTGGAGCTGAGCCTGCAGACAGGCTGGGTGTGACAGGGACAGCTCCTCCTGTCACATCTGCCTCGGGAAGGGGTGACAGCCACGCTCCTGGCTCCTGCTGGCACCGTGGCTGCTGGAGCAGATCCCTGGGGGAGCCTGGCACTCTCCATCCAGGCTGTCCAGAGCCCCGTGGCTGTCCCCGGGGAGGGCAGGGCTGGGCAGGACTGCGGAGCTGCAGCGCTGCCCTCGTCCGAATTCCTCCGTCCCAGCCAGCAAAGGGTCCTCTGTGCGAGCAGAGAGCTGGCAGCAGATCAGGAGCTGGGTGATGTCATGCAAAGGAAAAACACCAAAGGGCGTCCGTGGAGGAGGCAGGGTGAGCTGGAGGGAACAGATGACACCTGGAAGGAGCCAGGAGCCACCAAAACAGCCTGGGGGGGCTCACGAGTTGCTGGTCCGGAGAGCACAGGACCCTCCCGAGCTCTGGCGCTGTGTCCTCCCTGTCACCGACCTTCTGGGTGACCTTGTGAGTGTGTCCCTCCCAGGGATCGCCTCTCCCTGGAGCAGGGCTGGGAATTTCATCCTCACCTGGCTGCAGCAGAGCCGGGGCAGCTCTTCCTGCCCCAGGGATGCTCCAGGCTCTGATCCAGGAGGGAAGGGCTGTGCTGGACCTGTCCTGAGGGGAGAGCCTGGACACCCTGCCACGCACCAGGCTGGGCACAGCAATGGTGAGGAGGCTGTGCCCTGATGCTGGGATCACTGGGGAGGGTGGCACTGCTGCCAGGAGGGACACGAGGGACATTTCTCCTCTTTTTCCTCCTTTCCCAGCCACTCTGGAAACCTCAGTGTGCCCAGCCCCTGTGTGGGTGTGCTGGGAGTGCTCTCTGCCCGCTCCTGGCCACCCCCAGCCCTTCCCTGGCTCCTGGCAGCTGTGCCAGTGCCGTGTTTACACCGGCACCAGCAGCAGGGACATGTTTTTGGTGGTGCCACCACCCCGCTGGGCACAGCCCTGCGAGCCTCGGGGCTGCCGGGGATGCTGAGGAGCGGCTGCAAGGTCAGGCAGGGATGCAGGACAGGGAGGCTCTGCCTCGGGGCTGGATAAACCCAAATTTCCCCAAATCCTGCTGCAGCTGGCGATGGGGAAGGGCTTGGTCCAGCCAGGATGTGGCAGCTGCAGCGGGAGATGTGACGTGGCTGCCACTGTCACCTGCCCGGGAGGGAGCCGGGCTGAGCCGGAGCATCCGCGCGTCCCTGTCCCCATCCCTGTCCCCATCCCTGTCGCCATCCCTGTCGCCATCCCTGGGGCTGTCCCCATCGCAGCGGGGCTGTGACAAGCCCAGAGGCAGTGCCGGACTCTGGCTGTGTTTAAAACACATCCGTGGCTTCTCCCGAGCCGTGCCGGGGCTGCAGCAGCCGGCGCGCACACAAGGTCACCGCAAGGGACAACAGCGCCGGGGGCAGCTCGGAGAGGAGCCGCTGGCCCCGGAGGAGAGCAGGAGCTTTGTCCCCCTTTGTCACAGCCCGGGGATGGGGACAGGGGTGTGCAGACACACAGAGCGGGCTGCCTTTGTCACCTGAGCCGAGCGACAGCACACCCAGCCTCTCTGCCACCGCTCCCCAGGCGTTCCTGGCCCCAGGTGTGCTGGAATTTCCGTCCCCAGGTGTGCTGGAATTCCCGTCCCCAGATGTGCTGGAATTTCTGTCCCCAGATGTGTTGGAATTTCTGTCCCTATTTTTATTCCTTGGCACAGCTCGGGGTATTCTGGGGTCCCCTGAGGGTGGACACAGCTCGGGAGGGGAGGTGGCAGCAGCTGGAACTGCCCAGGAATTGTCACTCAATTATTATTATTTGGTACATCGTTTTCTTGCAAATCAACACGGGCAGAACGCGGGTTTGGCTGTTGTGTGACAGCTCTGTCACAGGACTGTGGTCCCCAGAGACCTCACAGCCACCCTGACCAGGGCTGAGCTGATGCCAGCCTGAAGAGGGTTTTGTCTCTGAAGGGTTTTTTGTCACTGAAGGAGGTTTTTTGTCTCTGAAGGTTTTTTTTTTTTGTCACTGAAGGAGGTTTTTTGTCACTGAAGGAGGATTTTGCCTCTCTCCAAAGGGCTTTTCTTGGTGAGATGAGCCCTGGCTGGAGGGTTTATGGCAGGGCTGTGTTCTGAGGAGCCAGGAGCTGGTGCCCAGCCCTGCTGCCCATCCTGGCAGTGCCCTGGAGGAGCTGCCGGGGTTTTCCTGCACGCACAGCTCGGAGCTGTCACCTCCCCTGGCTGGGTCTGGTCCCCAGGGGCAGCCAGGGCACGTTCCAGTTTCCAGTCCCCTGGGTGTGAGGTGAGGGGGGGACCCTGCTCCTCTGTGCTGTGCTGATGGGACAGGCTCTGATTCCCTCCTGGAACATCCCCAGGGCCTTCAGCAGCACCAGGAAACTCGTGGGGGTCTGTCCCTGCTCTCTTCCCCATCTCAGTCCTGTTAAGGCAAGGAAAGGATAAAATTCCCTGCAGCCCTGCTCTCCCAACTGTTGCAACAGGAGGAAAAATTCATCTTCCGTGGGCATTGCTAAACTCCTTCCAGAAAACTCCACAAAGTGGAAAAGCAGCTCTGGGGTCTCCTCTGTATGGAATTATTCTGGTGACTCGGGGTTCCCAACTGCTGGAAGGCTGCAGGGCCTCAGCTGCTTTCCTGGGGAGCTTCAGGGACAGGAGGCTTTTCTTTAAAGGATGGAAAATGAGAAATGTGAGAGTGCAGGGGTTTGGGAAATCATGGGAGATGAGAAATGTGAGAGTGCAGGGGTTTGGGAAATCATGGGAGATGTGTGTGCAGGGATTTGGGAAGGATGGAGCATGGGACATGTGTGTGCAGGGATTTGGGAAGGAAGGAACATGGGAGATGTGTGGAGAAGGATTTGGGAAGGATGGAAGATGAGAAATGTGAGAGTGCAGGGATTTGGGAAGGATGGAACATGGGAAGTGTTGGCTGTGTTCATGGGACCTCTCCCATTCCTTCTGGGGACCCCTCCCTCGCTCAGCCTCTGCCCCCTGATTTCCCAGAGCCAAAAGAAGGAAATTCCCTGTTCCAAACCAGCCAGAACCAGAGCCGGGCTGCCCTCAGCCCCGGGGGCCACTGCTGCCATCAGAGCTGGCATCTCCTGTCCCTTCCCAGCCTGGCCCCTTTCCCTGGGTGCCAGGGGCTGGTTGCCACCCCGGAGCCTCTGCTAGCCCCGTGCCAGCCCCGTGCCAGCCCCGTGCCAGCCGGAGCCGATGCCCCCATTAAGGCACGGCTGAGATCAGGGCTGTTTTCAGAAGGTTCCTTTGAGTGGAGGTTTGTTTGTGTAAATATTTGGACGTTTCTCAGGCGTGATTATCGAGCAACCTGCACCTCATGAATATTCAGAGGCCTCAGCGATTGCCTCCCTCTCTCCGGGAGCGGGAGCGGGGCCGTGCCAGGGATGCTGGGGACAGTGGCAGCACCGGGACATCCCCTGCCCCCCGAACTGGGAGCACTGGTGATGCCAGGGCTGCGCTGCTGGAGGGCACCTGGGGCTGGGCATCACCTGCCTGGGGGTGTGGTCACTGCCGGGGTGGGGACAGCACCGCCAGTGCCCACCTGGCTGAGGTTGGGCTCTCTGGGAAGGTGAAGAGCAGCTCAGAGCAGCTTTGGATCCTCCAGGGATCCTCCAGGATCCTCCCACCCCTCTGAGCTCCTCCTTCCTTCAGCCCCCACAGCCCTGATTTGCTTTTTTTTCCTTTCTCCACAACTCCCTCACTCCATCCCTGACATTTCCCCAGGTGAACCTGCGAGGGTTTTTTTTTGTGTTTTGCAGCTTCAGCCCAGGTTTGGTCTCATTGGCACAAATGACCCCCCTCACCCTCCTGGCACTGGGCAGCCTCTCCAAACCCTGGGAGCTTTGGGAAGTTTTGGAGCTGCTCCTTTTTTTCCCCCCGGAGATGTTCAGGGCCCTGGAGGGACCCCCCAGATCACCCTGCTCAAGGAACAGGAGGAGCTCAGGTGGTTTTGGAGCTTTTCCAGCAGTGAGAGGCTGCAGGAGGAATTTCTCCCTGGGCCTCCTCCGTGGCTGTAAATTTGCAAAATCTCTAAACTCTGCTATGTGAGGGACACCGATGGGGTTACCTAAAAACAGAGGCCAGACAAAATTAGGAGAATAAAAAGCAGTTTATTTATATTTATTTATATTTATTTATATTTATTTATATTTATTGAAGGGCCTTCAGGTACATTTAGGGCAGATGAAACCCCCAGAGGCTACACCCAAAATGGACCACAGGTCACAGGTTTTTACTCTTTTATAAGTTCCGTTCATTTGCAGATTGGGGGTTAATTTTCCAATTACAGCTTGAAGTAATGAAGTCATTTACCCCAAATTTGCTCCCCTCCAACTCCCTTTTGTTTGTATTTTTTGAGTGTGAGATGTCCTTGATTGCCAGCCTGGAGAGGAATTGTTGTGTTGGACCAAAATGAGAAATCTGCAGCTCACACTGTGCGTGGAGTTTACAGCTCTGCACTAAAGAACTGCAGGGTTACAAATCCACGAAAAACAAAAAAATCTGAAATCACCACGAGCCTCATTTCACCCAGGGAGAGGGGACAGGGAGCAGCAAATCCTCTCTGGGGACACCCCCGGAGCCCCCAGCACTGCAGGGCTCCCCCTCCTCCAGGGGACAGTGGTGGTGGCACTTGCAGGGCCACACAATTTAATAATACAATTGTATGCACTTTGATGTGCTGTGGCGTCTGTACATTTATTTTTATTTTGTTTTGACTTAGGAAAAGTAAATGTTCTATAAAATTCCATTTTCGCTGAGTTAAGAATTTCTAAGTTTTGAGGTTCAAAGGACGCTCGAGGAAGGAACTCGGTTTAAACATTTTATTCCTTGGTAGGATTTGTAATGAATGGAGAAAGATTTGCTGAGATAATTTTTGGAATTGGCCAATTGTTTACTGGTATATTGACTAAACAGGTTGAGAAAGGCTTTTTTTGGACTTGAATTCGTTAGATAAATGGTGTCTAGACTTGAAGCTGAGGTTGCTGCCTCCAGCAGTGCCCTCTGCATCCCAGGGCTGCTCTGTGCATCTGCAGATGATGAGCTGGGGCACAGGGAGCCCGTGGCAGGAATGTCACATCGGTCCAGGCTCGGGGTCAGCATTTTATTATTTTATTTTATTTTATTTTATTTTATTTTATTTTATTTTATTTTATTTTATTTTATATATATATATTTTTTTTTTTGGTGCTTTCCTCCCTCCCTCTCTGCTGCCAGCAGCACAGAAAAACCAGCACAGCCCTTCGTGGCGGGAGGAACGGGCAGGAAAACCAAAAAATAAAATAAAAAAAACCCCTCTGATTTAATTCCCTATTTCTGCCCCTCTGCACCAGGCATCACGTCCATTATGTCATCCCTTACGACGGGGACCAGTCCGTGGTGGATTCCTCGGAGAATTATTTTGTGACTGACAATGTAACCAAGCAGGAGATTGATCTGATGCTGGGACTTTTGCTGGGCTTTTGTATAAGCTGGTTCCTGGTGTGGATGGACGGGGTTCTGCACTACGCCGTGCGCGCCTGGAGGACCAGCCGGCGCTATGGTAAGAGCTGCTCCTCCCCTTCCTCCTCCTCCTCCTCCTCCTCCTCCTCTTCCTCAGTGCCTGCCCTCTCCGTGGAGGCTGGAAAAGCTCGTTATTTATTCCACGTGGGTCCGGCACAAAAAATCTGGGCAGGGATGTCCCAGCTCTCTTTGTCCCAGCGTGATGCTCTCCCAGCTCAGGATGTTCCATCATTCCGTGACCCCAGCGGGGTGTTATAAACGAGAGGCAAAAGTGTCGATATTCAGCAAAATTTTGGGTTGTTTTATTTGATATAGAAAGAGCAAACAGAGCTGGGGAACGTGAGGGGTCAGCGCCCACTCCACGCTCCACCCAACCTCGGTTTGCAGCCTCTTCTCACACTGGGGTTTTTATTGTCATCAATAATTTTGGGGTTTTTTGCTGTCATAATTCTGCTAGGTAAGCAGTGGTGGTCGAATAAACATCCTTACACAAATTCACAAAGCCTTTGGGTGACAATCAGTCACAGCCATCTGGGCCTTGTAGAGAACCAGCAGAGCAGTTCTGGGAGTTTGGTTTTTGGGATGAGCAGCATTGATCACACAAAGGCAGGAAGGGCTTTTTGGGAAGTCTCATTTTGCAAGCTGGGAGCCCACACAACTTATTTGGAAAATATAACATATTATAATGTAACATAATACAACAGAATATAACATAACAAGGTGATTTTAAACAGAATGATTTATTCATATAATTTCCTTTATCTGGTGTCCATGCTTCACTTCAGAGCTGAGTATTCTGGTTTATACAAACCCCGATGTTTTTGTGATTAACACGAATCTTTTAGCAACTGTCACACAGGGAATGCTGGTGTGGCAATTCTATGTGTGGAATATCTTCAGGCTGAACCCAAATTTCCCCCCCCCCAAAAAATCTGATTTTTTTTTATTTCCTAGCTGCTGGTGTTGGTTGTGTAAACCTGTGACATTGTGGTGACAGTGAGTGACATCTGTGTGGTGCCAGCTGAGGTTTTCCATTCCTCATCCCTGAGCAGATGTTTTTGGAGATGCTTTTTGTTCAGTTGTGCCATCAGCCCCACGGGGAGAAGGGTTGGGCAGGATTGTCAGGTTTTGGAGCAGTTAAAATCCTGAATTAACACTCCGAGAAGGATCAACAGATGCTCCCTCAGAGGCTCCCTCTGCCCCATTTTCCTCCCTCAGCACGGGCATCCCATGGATTTTCATATTTGGAGGAGAAAAAAAATGTCAGGAAAATGTATTCAATTAAAGAATGACTCGAAATTCCCTCAAAATGTGCCTACAAATCTCCATCTCCCCAACTCTTGACTGATGGTGCTGTTAAATCCCAACTCAGAGGAAAAGGAGAAGCGAGCAGGAGAAAGATTTATCTGCAGGCCTATAAGAAATTCTAATTAGGGAAGTGAACTCTCTCTTTCTAAAAACTCAGATAAAAAATGATATTAATTTCCCATTAGTCTTCCCAAATCCCAGCAGCCTCTGTGAGCAGTTTCTGAGTCAGGATTCTCCCGGGGCTCTGCTGCTGCTTCCCAAGCAGGGGCTGATTTTCCTGTGAGATTTCAGGTTCTGAGAAGCAATTTTGGGGCTTGTGGCTCCCGATTTTCATCAGAGATCAGAGCAGGGCTGGCAGGAGCTCTCCTTGTGCTGAGATGTTCTTCAGAGCTGGGATCACCTACCCCTTGTGAATGGAGGCTTTTATTTTTAGTAATTAATTTAGTATTTCAACTAATTGATCTCTTTTGTTTCATTTTTTTTTTCCCCTCCCTGTGTACACCTATTTTAAGGCTTTATAAAAGGCTTGCTGCAACGAACCTAAATATTTCCTATTTATTCCAAATCAACGATGCAACAGAGTAATTTTAAAGGCACTGAGCAGAAAGGAATTTGTTTCTTTGTTGAACAAAGCTAAATTTTCCTTCTGAAGGAAGAAATTGTGAGACTGGGGCAGAGGAAACACAAATTCTGTGCTGGTAGAGAGCGAGGAGAGCACGAGCACCACTCAGCAGTGACTCAATGTCACATTGGGGCTGCTCAGCTCCAGTTGTGGCCTGTTACAATAACCTGGGGCTCCTTCTTGATGCAAGAGGTTTCTCAAAATAGAAAATATTCCATAGGAAACTCAGCCCGGGCTTCGTAGCAGCTGCAGGGCTGGGCAGGGCTGTTCACAGTCATGGATTCAGGGACTCATTTGGGATGGAAAAAGACTCAAAGATCATCGAGTCCAATCAATTCCCAGCACAGCAGCTCGTCCTTGTGCCATCTGGATTTCTCTGGGATTTTCCAGCTGTCCTTTGAGGGGCTGGGATTTGTGTATTTTTGGGTGGAAACAACCCAAAATGTTTATGGGAATGGGTGGCAGCTGTTCCTGGGCTGAGGGGTAAAAAATGGGTAAAAAATGGGTTAAAAAGGTGTTGGGGGCAGAGGGTGATGGGGATGGGGGCAGGAATTTGGGAGGACAGGTGTCCAAGCTGCCCTGGCCATCGTGACAAGGTGGCCATGAAGGGACATCAGGGGTGGCTTTGCCAATTCAGTGGGGCAGGAGCAGCTTGGGGACAGGTTTGGGACAGGTTTGGGATAGATTTGGGATAGGTTTGGGATAGGTTTAGGATAGGTTTGGGATAGATTTGGGACAGGTTTGGGACAGGTTTGGGACAGGTTTGGGATAGATTTGGGATAGATTTGGGACAGGTTTGGGACAGGTTTGGGACAGGTTTGGGACAGGTTTGGGATAGATTTGGGACAGGTTTGGGACAGGTTTGGGAACAAGTTTGGGACAGCTTTGGGATAGATTTGGGACAGGTTTAGGACAGATTTGGGACAGCTCAGCCCCCTCCTCTCCCTACAACCCCTCACCTTCCCTGTCCTCCCTGCCTTCCAGACAACTCCTGGTCTTGGATCCCGAAGTTTTGTAACTTGAAGGAGTTGAGGAAGCGTCACCACCGGCAGTACGAGGAGGCCACGGGGAACATGGTGCACATCAAACAGAAGCTGTACCACAACGGGCACCCCAGCCCCCGGCACCTCTGAGGGACCCCCAGCCTCCAGGGACTGCAGCCAGCTTTTAAAACACACAGGACTCTGCTCTTCCTCCTGGGGAACAGCTCTGGTTTGCTCCCAAGCCAGCTGAGGACACGGATTTTAGGGATCCATCCCGGGTGTCCATGGGTGGACACGCCACGATGCACAACTAAGCCAGTCCTGGATGCTCTGCAGCCAAGGCTTTGCACTGTGTTCCACATTTTATTGTCAGACTCGTGTATATATGTAAAAAAAAAAAAAAAAAAAAAAAAGAAGAAAGAGAAAGAAAAAGCTATCCCTTAGAATGTAGACAGTATTTAACCCCCTCCCCTTTTCCTGGCTGTCCTGCACATCCTGCTGGGAATGCTGGCCGAGGGGATGGAGGTGGCACAGCNAGAGATTTGCATTATAATTTCAACCCCTCCCCTTTTCCTGGCTGTCCTGCACATCCTGCTGGGAATGCTGGCCGAGGGGATGGAGGTGGCACAGCACGAAGAAGATGCAGAATGTCCCCTCCAGGAGCTGCAGCCCCCGTTTCTCTGCTCCTTGGGCTCGGCTTTGCCCTCCCTGCTCTGCCCCTGCCGTGGCTGGCACAGGTTTGGATGGGCACTGCTGCCAGCACAGTGTCCCCCCTTTCGGGTTTCGCTTCGGTTCCCGTTCTGGGGAGTTGCTGTGGGGGAAGGAAGTGCTGGGAACGTGTCAGGGCTTTGTGGTTTGTGTTGCTGTCCACTGAAACCTGCCTTAAGCAAATCCAACCTCAGAGCCAGGGCAGTGGGGCTGGGGGGGCTCCCTGGGGCTGGTGCTGCTCTGGTGGCACCTTTGGTGGCACCTTTGGTGACAAGGCTGCTGTCCTTCACTACAGGAAGGGTGGGATGTGTTAGATGGGACTCATCAACACCCCCCAGCCCTTGCCTGGGAGGAAAGGAGCTGCTCTGCCCCTCTTCTTGCAGGGTGAGCCTGGTTAAAACACCCCCAAAAAAAAGCAATGAGGGGGCCCTGAACACCCCTGGCTTGTGGGGCTTGGCTCGAGGGACACTGAAGCCAAACTCCTTCCAAACATCCCGAATGTGCCCAGGCTTGAGTCCAAGTGTGAGGAGGCTCCAATGTGGTTTTGTGCTTTTCTGCTGTGGGTTTTGAGGTCTGGATGGAATCAAACCCACTCTGGTGTGGGTTTTGGGGTCTGGATGGAGTCAAACCCACTGTGGTGTGAGTTTTGAGGTTTGGATGGAATCAAACCCACTCTGGTGTGAGTTTTGAGGTGTAGATGGGATCAAACCCACTCTGGTGTGGGTTTTGGGGTCTGGATGGAATCAAACCCACTCTGGTGTGAGTTTTGAGGTTTGGATGGGGTCAAACCCACTCTGGTGTGAGTTTTGAGGTTTGGATGGGGTCAAACCCCACTCTGGTGTGGGTTTTGGGGTCTGGATGGGATCAAGGCTCTGAAAGCAGTGTCCCCACCCAGAGATCTCCTCCAGTCCCTGCAGGAGCCCCAGGTGTGCTGGTCCTGTCCTGTCCTGCTCTGCTGCTGAGCCCAAGGATGTGCTGGGGTGGGGAGAGAGAGGATTTATTTATCAGGAGGGCTGGAGGAGGGAAATGCCACCCCCAGGAACCTGACAGCCCTGAGCCCTCATCATTCCCCCTTCATTCATCATTTTGTGTCGAGTGGGTTCGTGCAGAAATGGGGAGAACAGCCAGAACTGAAGGATGCTGAGCATTGCCTGGAAATCTCCTTTTCCATGGATTCCTGGGCACTCTCAGTGTTCTCCTGAGGAAAAGGAAAAGTGTTCTCCAGGGAAAAGGACACCAGGACTCCTGCTCTGCCCTCCCTGCTCCAGCTTCTGTGTCTTGGGGTTGTTTTTTTGTTTTTTTTTTTTAATTTCCTATGCTCAGTTCAGTTAATTACAAGCCCCCAAACATTCCCATTTCTCTGCCATTCCCACCTTTGCTATTCCCTAGTGCCTCTTGTCTTGGAGCCCCAGGTTCTTTCTGGACCGAAATAATTTCCTGGTCCATATTTGTGTGTGTTTGTCTGTCTGTCTTTTCCTGGCTAAAATATTCCTTAGGATCTAAGGAATGACTTTTCCTTGAGCAGCTCCTTTCCACAGCCTGCTGGCAGGGAAGAGCAGGGACTGGATTATCACCAAGCCCTCAGGTGGGATAGAATTTTGTAGGGAGAAAAATTCCATTGTGATAAGGACAAAAATTGAGTCCCTGGAACTGGTTATGGGAAGGGGGGGGGAGGGGGAAAAAGCACTTTAAAAGCAATTTTTCCACTGACCTAAACTCAGACTGAATGTAAAGCCTGGCTCTGCCTTCATCTAGCAGCTGACCTTGGCTGAAAAATCATTAAAAATGGAACAACTGGGAAGGGTGAAGTGATGCTCACCCCTGTTGAGTTTGATCTGGCTCTGCTGGGAATGTTCTCCTGAGGTTTTGGGATGAGGAGCTCTGCTGGGAATGTTCTCCTGAGGTTTTGGGGTGAGGAGCTTTGCTGGGAATGTTCTCCTGTGGTTTTGGGGTGAGGAGCTTTGCTGGGAATGTTCTCCTGTGGTTTTGGGATGAGGAGCTCAGCTGGGAATGTTCTCCTGTGTTTTTTGGGGTGAGGAGCTCTGCTGGGAATGTTCTCCTGAATTTTTGGGATGAGGAGCCCTGGCCTGGCTGCCTGCATGGGGACTGGTTGGGAAGGAGAGGTGTGGGGAAAAGCAGGGGATTGAGAAATCCATCCCATCACTCAGTGGCTCCTTCCTAAACTCAAATCCCATCCTCAATTCCAGCTCTGCTGAATAAACCCCTGGCCAATATAAACCATAAAGAGTGAGAAGGGCCCTTCCTCTTTGAGGAACAGTTTGGGAAGGTGTCTTGGAATCTCCTGTGATTCCATCATCCATCCATCCATCCATCCATCCATCCATCCATCCATCCATCCATCCATCCATCCATCATCCATCCCTTGGGCCAGCCAGGGACACCTCAGCTCATCCATAATAAAATCCAGGAGAGTGCCTGGAAAGGTGTCCTGGGCACTCACAGCACCGTGGGCTGGGTTAGTTACTCTCACTGCTGTTTCTACCTCATTTTCTGGTTGCATTTTCAGCTGGGGGAACAGAATCCCTGCTAAAAAGGGGTGTTGAAAACACACTGAGGTGATGAAGGCACTGGAACATCTCCTGTGAGGGAACTGGGAGAACTGGGACTGCCCATCCACATCAAAATCCCTGTAGGGAAGGTGCAGAGAGATGGGGAAAGGCTCTTTAAGGGCTGTCCAGAGATGGAGCAGAGGCACAAAATGAACGTTTTTGGTGAAGGGGGGTTCTATTTGAACATCCTGCACGTGGTGGAAAGGGAGGTGATGCTCACTGGTGTAGGGGGAGGCTGGCAGGAGCTGAGGGGCACAGGGAGCTCAATCCAGATCTCACAGGGAGCTCAATCCCATTCCAGATCTCACAGGGAGCTCAATCCAGATCTCACAGGGAGCTCAGTCCAGATCTCACAGGGAGCTCAATCCAGATCTCACAGGGAGCTCAGTCCCATTCCAGATCTCACAGGGAGCTCAATCCAGATCTCACAGGGAGCTCAGTCCCATTCCAGATCTCACAGGGAGCTCAGTCCCATTCCAGATCTCACTTCCCAGCACTGCTGAACGTTCATGGATGAAGAGGTTGGGTCATCACGGAGGTGATGAAGCTGCTTCTGCATCCAGGGGGGCTTGGAAAGTAAAAACAGCAGCTCCCAGAGCACCCCTGGATGGGAAAGAGCAGAAATCCTTCCCGAATTAGAGCACGTGGTACAAAGAGAGACCTTTGGATCCATCATTTCCCAAGCTGGATGCCCTGGTGGGACAGGTGTGGGTTTCAGTGAGCACAGTGGGATGCAGAGCAGGGAATTCATTGTCTGTGGGGCAGGGACACAGGATTGCTGCTCCCACCCTGGGGTGAGGGTGAAAAATCCCCCCAGCTCAGCTCCATGGGGTATCCAGGAGGACAAGAAGCAGCGAGGGAACTTCCAGAAGAAAATTTAAAAACTCAAGAAGAGCCAGTGTGGCTTCCCTGCAGGTGTGGCAGAGTGAGGAGGAGCTGCTCAGCCTGGCTGGGCTGGTGGGGGTGTGTCTGTCTGTGTGTCCGTGTGTCCAGAGCTCTGTGTGTCACCGTGTCCCCTGCATGGAGCCTGTCCCTCCTTTGGCACCTCCACCCATTGGAACTCATTTCTATCCCAAAGGGGTTCCCAGTTTCAGGCCCCTCCTGGGATTCCCAGGGTGGCTCAGTCCCAGGCACAGGAAGCCCTGCACTCACTTTAGGGAGGTTTTTCACTTGTGCAACACCAGGACAGAGCTTGGAGTGCTGTTTCCCCTGATTGATAATCCTTCTTTTCTTTTTTTTTTCCCTGCACCCAAACCACTTCTGCATGCATCAGGCAGGGAGAGGCACAGCCCAGACTACCAGAGAGAGAGAGATTAAACTCTGCTCCGAGTCTAATCACAGAATAATCTCTACTGTGGTTGAAAAGCAATAATGGCTAATTTTTTTATTAAATACACTTGCACAGGCAGATTTCACCCAGGGCTTTGTGGTCTCCGTGGCTGGAGGGGTGACAGCCTGTGCTGAGGCTCTGGGGAGCAGCTGAAGGTGCAGAGAGCTTGGGGTGGGGGAGGCAATAGAAAAAGCACACTGTGATTTTATTTGGGTCAACAAGTGAGTGTATTTCAGCCATTCCTTCCCTTTCAATAAGATGTTTGTATAATAGAGAACCAGTTCAGCTCCTGGAACTAAGCCCATCCTTTGCTGTTTGTCAGTAAAATAGTTTTTTGCATGTTTTGCATCTGAGTGTTTTTTCCAACCCTTTGAACCCAGTGATTCCCCCCTGGGGCAGAGCTGGGGCACCCCAGAGCAGCAGGTCCCCAGTTTTGGGCAGTGGGGGTGACAGGAGGTGCAAACAAGGCTGGGAAGGTGTGGGGAGAGCTGGCCTGACCTCTCAAGAAGAGCTCAGTGATTCCCCCCAGGATCTGGGACAGA